ATGCACAGGGGGTTGTTTTCATCATTTCACTTGTTTTAATTATTCGGGTCATCCTGATACAAGTCACAAGCTTTTTCCCCACCCCAAATCTTCATGCATGGCAGAAGGCTAGAAAAAGGAGGATTTGGACAAAAGCAGTGAGCAGTTACAGTGAAACAGCAGTGATTTTGCATGATGTTTGGGAATTCTAATAATTTTTTAAAATCCTTATGGAGCCACTGTTGGCCTTCTGCAGTTATCCCCAAAAAGTAAAATTTCTTTATCATTCCTGAAAGGAAAGATGGAATTAAGATAACAAAAAGTACAGCCCAATGTAGTCAAGCTAAAAGAAGAGGTCCCATATTAGATGTTATTTTGTATAGAGGAGTTAAGCACGGACAGTGTTTTTGAAAGGTTTGTTCTATACCTGGTGGGGGGAGAGTAGGGAATAAGACAGCAATCCTTTTCAGAAGTGGAATTAATAGTTCATGGTTTGCTTCCACAGACTGGGGAAAGCAAAGCATGTGGAAAGAATCTATTTCTGGAAACTTCTCACTACCATCGAAACTATCATTTTTAAAGATGCCATTAAAGGAAAACTGGCTGGAACAGATTAACTGAGAGCTGCTTTAGGAATTCTTGTTTCTGTAATTGTTACCACATCAGGCATAAAGGCAGGGCAGAGTGGAATTTAACCTTGCAACAGCACTAGTTGCAAACATTAAACAAACAGGAAGCTCTCTCCTACAGCACTTATGTTCCTGTCAGATTATCTGAATAGAGAGCACTTTGAACATTTGGATGAGAACTGCATCCAACCCATGTCCAGCAAAACAGACAAAAGAATGCTAAAATGCTTTAAAAAGGGGGGGGGGGACTTTCAGTCATAGCTAATACACCAAGAGGAGGCAGCGCCTGGTGAGAGTTTGACAGGTTATTTAAAATGAAGCATTTGACCCCACAAATGGCTTTACTGGGTTAATACAATTAGCTGATGTTGATTAGGGGTGCACAGTGTCACACAATCATCACAGCACATGCGCACCACTCCTAAGTGGCTCAGCTGCCGGGGGTGTCTTTATCTTTCCTTCTACCCAACTATAAAAAGGAAAGAAAGGAGAAATTAATCCAACTCCTATCTAAAGGCAATTTAAGGCTTTTAAAATCTAAGAAACGGTAATGCTGGAGTCAAGGTCCCCTTCTAGTAGCCAAGCCACGCAACACACACACAGAGCATTATATTTAAAGCAGTGAATGCTGGCATTGCTTCCAGGGCTTCTCTCTTACAAACGGCCTCGATGGTGTTTATGTCTGAAGACATGTTCAAGAAGCCGCCGTGGCAGCATTTTGCTCTAAAGCAAGGAGAGAATTTCCACAAATACCCAAGAACTTAAAGGGCAGCCCAGCTTGATCCCCACACAAAAGAATGGAGCACTTAGAGGGCACAATCTCCCATTGAATAATTACTCCACTGAAATGGAAGGGGGCTGCACAAGAGCACTGCAGACGTAACGCACAACGCCATCCCTTTCAGCAGAACTTGCCCTCAAGTGCTTCCTAGTAGACTGCATCTCCAAAAGCTACAAAGCACAATCCATTTTCCCCAAAGCAGACCTTTCAGAGAACTGGGTTATGGATTGCAAGCTTAAATTTCACCAACACGCATGCCTTACGATACCTCTTTACGCTGTCTTGGAATTCTGCAACACATCAAATCAAACATAAGTCTGCATGAGACATCCCTATTTTTGTTAAGCTCATCTTATCTCTAAATGCTCCAAGTTGGAAGTTCAAACAGTGATCTGGTCCCTGTGTGTCCGGAAATGATGTTTTTGGCCAAAGCCTTTACTCCTCTAAAAGGTATTTCCCTCCCACCCTCAAACAATCTAAAGGAAAGGGCTGTGCACTGCCAAGATGGATTGCCTATCCTCACCTAAAAATCCCAGTTAAGGAAAGCAAAAAGAAGGCAAAGGACAAGTGCTGCTTCACCAGGCAGAGGCAGACGCTGCTCCAGCAACAAGGGCACCAAGCAATGGCACGTCACTCTTAAAAAGCAATGCAGCATTTCACCTCGAGAATCGGAATGGACAGAGCTGTTCTTCCAGGTATTGCTTGCATCCTTTCCCCAGCACAAGCCACTTATTCGATGAGTCCCACATAGTTGGCAGGGAACATCCCGAAGTGGCCATCAGGACCATAACCACACCACCAGCCCTCATCAATCATCTCAATGTTGGTGATGATGTTCTCAGGGTCGAAAGAGATCTCAGTGTCGTCAGCTGAAAGGTGGGAACAGGCATATTCAGGGAAAGGAAAGTCGGAACAAGAAAGACTGCAACAGCTGGTAGTTCTGATGTACCCAGTCAGGGCCCCGCCTGAACTTTAAAGGGAGCTATCTGTGGGTTGAACCTATTGGAGGGTCAGCTCCATAGAACCTCTGGCTGAAGTCCACATCATCCCAGTGACACTGGGGTCACCTTTCTCCTGCAGGGCATATAGCGGCTGGAGTGAATACTCAGGACCACTTAAAGAAGCAGTGCACCATACGTGTCTGCATTGATTGTACTCTGGAATCTGCCCACCCGAACACAGAGATAGGGATGTTCTGTCTCAAACGGCCTTTGCCAGTTCCTCCAGGACTGGGCAGGGCTTGGACTCCAAGCCTCAACGGGGTGAAAGACACTCCACCTGGCAGGCTCAGGGAGGAGCCAAGGAGTGAGGCAAGCACTGCATGAAGCTGAGGACTTGGCCAGTGGTGGGAGGAAAGGTTTGTGCCAGTTAACAGAATCCTGTTTTCCATGCTGTGAAAGGCAACGAGAAAACCAAACCAGGTCCAGCCATGCCCACTGACTCCTCCCAGCCCATGGGGGGCAATGTAGGCCCCACTGCAGTGCCCCACCCCAGTCTGAGAGGAAGCTCAGTCTTGCTTAAATGGACCAGTAGCAATTCTCTAGGGTCTATCACATTTACCCAATCTTCTCAACAGGAGGTGGTGGAGATCTCTCTGCAACAGTTACTTGTTACATGAACAAATCAGACAACAGAAGTCTATAATCCTCTAGAAAGCTGGTTGAAGCCTTACTAAAAGGTTTGGCTGGGGCTTTTGAAGTCAAAGGAAGTCCAAGCAGCAGCAGCTCCATTGGCTGAGTAGCAGGCAGTTCTCTGGGGTTCCCATCAGGCAGTGCTCTTTTAAGGTAGAGGCCAGCCTGCTCTAACACTCTGTTGGGGCTGCCCTTGAGAGCTGCATTACACAGTCACCCGATTTCCACTGCAGGGAGGTTGCCACAAACATTCCATCCGTGCTTCAGCACTTATGCAACCCACCTCTAACCTCTCAGGACTAGTTCTGAATTATGAAGAAAAGTGGTTTCATCACAATGTACTGAAGAAGCTAACACTCTGCTGTGAACTCTAAAAATCAGCAGAAGATAACAGTCCCCAACTGCAAACAGCAAGGGCTCACGGAAGCATCATTTAAGCCTATCCTGTAACCTGGCTTTATGCTAGCCAGAAACAGTATCCTCTACCCCCTTCTGTTCTCCCACCACGGTTTTTTTGCTCCTCCTTCCACACAATATCCTACTGCCCCATTCATCTTTTAACCACTGAATTAGGGCAGAGTATCTACCTTACTCTGTGTGCATCAGTTTCAAGCCGTTACTGCTTGAAACCTCTTTATGAGGTTTCTAAGGGGATGTATTGGGGGACTTTTTTGCCCAGTATCTAAGGCAAAAATTCCACATTCCCATATCTCCAATAAATACACACTGCAAAATCTGATAATCAACTGCCAGATACACAATTTACTCAATGAACCTGCCCAAACTGGCTTTCTGGCTTGGAAATCCTCAGTCCCTTTCTTCTAAATCTGAAACCACTCCATGACTGGGAAACCTGGAGGCAAACCTGGAGGCAAACACTTGAATGAGCAGAAAAACCACACAGCACAGAACATACCAGCTTGATAGTCGTATAGAGCTCGAGCACATAAACCTTTCCCCTCCAAGTTAGGATTTTGCTGGTAGTTTTCAGTGTACTCATATTTAGTGTCTTCAGGTTGTTCCTGCAAGCACAGAATGAGAAATAGGATATTTCAAGTGGTACTGACAACTACCAAGGCCAGACTTTTAACATCCTGTAGCTAAAATTTTACAGCTGTAGATGATGGGAGTGTGGCCTTCCAGACGTTTTGGCTACAAGTAGCCCACCCCTGAAATAAAGAGATACTTCACTGGACGAAAATCTGCCTCACCCGCTCTTCTGAGGGATTAAGCTGGTATGTTAGATTTTCTGATAGGGCTGATACCTCCATTTCGTTATCCCATACTTTCCACAATAAGGCAAGGTAGGATATATGATTCTCTCCCTACCTCCATATGCCAATTTTATCCTCTCAACAACCCCAAGGTCAAGTAAATGTCATGGCTGACACAGATTCCAATCCGGATCTCTCTGATGCTTTAACCACTCGCTATTTTCACTTTGGATGGGCTACAAAATTCTGGGTGTGTTTTAGCCACATCCTCATATACACTCCATCAGGTTTCATGCATGCAGGAATCCATTCTTTGCGGCATTTCAGCCAACCTCTGAGCTCCCTCATCTTGTTGATACCTCCCCTCTTATGCAATGGTGATCTTAGCTACAAAAGCTTTCACACTCAAACATCAGAAATAATTAGTGTAAATGAAGCCATATTTTCTCATCTAAATTCTGCCAAAATGTGCTTCAAATCCATTTTCCATCATTCCTGAGATGGTCTTAAAGCAACTGGGGGGAACCTCAGGACTGGTCCCCTTCCCCTCCCTTTCCTTCCAACCATTGTTCATCTTTCTCCTCACCCCAGTATTTTCCCTATTCCGAAAGAGTTACAGTGACTCTTCTAAGGCTACTAGCAGTAAGAGTTTTAAGCTACAAGACCGTGGGCGCTTTTGCTCCTATGGAATGTAGCCCTCAAGAGCTTTTCCAAAACGAAATTTGGCCTTCAGGCTGAAAGATGCTCCCCTTCCTCTTTCCTAAAGGGTAGAATGACACGGGACTCCATTTTGCATACACACATAGTTTGATTCACAAAAGGAGAGTTGTATTTCAGGAAACTAACCTCAGGAGGTTCATCATAGATAGCTGGCTGACTAGGTGGTTCTTCATATACTGCTTCATGTTCCACTTCTGGGTGGGAGACAGGAGTGTCCTGTTTTACAGAATCGCCTAAGAAGCAGAACACGTTTTCGTATTTCAGTGCATCAGGTTTAGTATAAATCCCTTCCAGTAATCAGCGCTACCTGATACATTTTTCTGACATTAACCTGGTCATCCCTCAGGAGAGGCATCGCAGCATCTCAAAGGCAGCTAGCAAGATGCCGTTCCTGCTGGTGAACTTCTTGAAGGAGGGCTACTTAGAAGGAATGGGGAGGCTCCATTAAGGGATGGTGTGAGGACATGTGGTGCATTCCGGTAAACCAGGCACAGCAATGAAGTGCCTCCCGTTTACTCAGAACCCAGGAAAGCACAGGACTCCTTAGGCTTCCCAGGCTGGCTCCTCTGCAGTCACACGATCAGCCAACACTATGTAGATGCAGTTAAGCCACACTGTTCCCTTCCTGTTCACTGAGCTTGTGTTGCGACTCTTTCCTATCCATTTGCCCTACCTTGGATTAGCTACTTAGATGGCGCTCCCACAGCTCTCTTTGGATTATGACTACATGCCTGAAAATTCCCAGTAGAATCAATATTTGCAGGACAATAACTTTTAATAGAAACACTTCTGTAGCAAAATGATTAAATTCAGTTATCCTTGTCGATATGTCTGTTCTGCAATGCAGGAGTCTGAGTTTGGCTCTTCCAGCTGAAGTGATGCAGAACTGTTTAGTTAAGTGTATGCAGAAGACCCTCTGTTATTTAATTAATTTCTATGCTGCCTGTGAGTCAAAATGACTCTGTGGGCAGTTTACATAGTCAACATACACAAATAAAAATAATGTATTAAAATCAAAGATATTTAATACATCATTATAAAAGCAATGCTAAAATAACTCATCCACAATCCGCTCACAGCAGTAATGTTCAATGATGTACTGATGTTTGGAAGCAAACAGTCACCCACCACTTCCACTAATTTGTGGTCTGGCTCCTTTAGCTCTATATTTAGTCATATTAAACATTTTCAGACATTTTAGCTCAGCAGTTAAGAAAATTACACCTTGCTTTTGCTCTCTTATTTTTGGTTCAGCCTTTGACTTGTTTTCCTGTCTCTCCTTTTAACTGCCTACTAAATCTCTGTCAAATGATGACTATTCCCTGAATCTAATGAAAAATAATCAGCTTTTTCCCCTTTTAAGCTTCCTCAATACAAAGGCCATTGTCTGATCCTAGCAACAGATAAAGCAGCATAGGACAAACATGGTGCATACAGCACAAAACCAAAACAAACAACATTCCACAGTACAGACAGAATGAAGCACACAGACACCACCCAGGAAAACAAGATACCTCTCCTTTAAATAAAGGACTCTGAGCCACTCAGGGTGGCAGGACGGAGACATATGAGAAAGTATGTGGGTCTCCAGTTTCCTTTAATATCAAAATAACTGGTAGCAAAGAATGCTCACTGATCAACGGAGGCTTCCTTTCTATGCCATTCTGAAAAGGCAGGAGCCCAGACCTATATCAAAGCTGGCAAATCGAGCTTTTGCAGCAGGGAGATGTGCAAAAAGCCTTAGCAATATCCTTTTCAAAAGAGAAGAAAAGAACTTTGCCAGGGAGGGGAGGAGAGGCAGCCTGCACAAGCAGAGGAAACTAAATAGCTGTAAGGAAAAGCTGTTCTTCCTAGGATAAAAGTGTACTGTTGGGATGAAAAGGAACACAAAATTGTACTTTAAATGTAATAGGTTAGAGCAGCCTTTCTCAATCTGGTGCTCTGCAGATATGCCAGAATACAACCACCCATCATTTGCAGCCAGCATGACTATGAAGTAGGGATGATGGGAACTGTAGGCCAACCAATCTGCAGTGCATCAAGCCAGGAAAGACAAAGTCAAGATGCAGTAAATTGAGCTGGGACACTATCCTATTAAAAATTAACTTCCAGGGAACTATCCCAAGTGTCCAAGCATATGGGAGGGAAAAACAACTTTTACATTATTTGCAAAGTAGGAACAAATGATCTGCAAAACTGAGGATTTTAATCTGTGTGGCTGAAAGTTATGTTGGTTGTGGACACCTCCACAACATGGATGTTTTCCTCTGTACGGCTGGAATAGTGCTGGAAGGACGACCAGAGCATGGGCTGCCACAGGAACACCTCTAACTAGCCTCACCCGGAGAAACCAAGGAACCAAATCCACAAGCTCCCTCATAGTGCTTTACCATGCTCGGGACCAGGAGAGACGGGAGGTGTGTCGTGTACAGATGAATGGACAACAGGAGGAGGGTGAACATCTTGCACAGCAGGAAGGACGGGGGAGACGGGGGCCTCCACGTGACTGTTCTCCTGGAGAAAGGGGCTCCGTAACTTGCCTAGGAAAGGAGCCGAGTCAGTACAAAACGCATCCCGCCGAGAGCGTGCGCCACCCTGCCACTGTTCGCTCAGCAAGCGGGCCATGGAAGGGCTACCCAAGGCAGCCTCGGTAGTGGAGCCCTCTTCCACTTTTGCCAGGCACGCCAGGGGGGTGGGGGTGCCCCCTTTCCCCTGCTGGGTCTCCAATGCACAGTTCCTGCTCCAGCCCCATTCCCGGTATGGGAGGCTGCGACCCCGAGCCCCCCGGCCGTGAGGCCTGGTCCTCCTCCCCAGACGGCTTGGCACAGCAGCTTCCCCCTGTGGGTGGGGGCTTTTGAACCCTTGTCCACAAGGGGTGCCTGCTTCCTTCACAGGCATTCGACCAAGGAGCTACATGGCCCCTCTTTGGCATGGCGCCTCCTCCTCGTGAGTTGTGCTTGGGCACCGTATCAGAGGATTCACAGCCACGCCTGGGAGGATGCCTGGAAATGGTTTCTACTGTATTTGTAGCCCATCTTTCCTCCTTTGTGGAACTCAGGGTGGCTATAAACGTTCTGTAAGGGGCGGGACAGGAAAGCTTTTAATAAATTAATAAATCAAAGAGATACCCAGGTAGCCTCCCCTCCAAGCCTGGACCAGACCCAGAGCTGCTTAGTTTCAGCAAGGTGGTGACCTCAAATGCCTTCCTTGCTCTGGGACTGCAGCAGTAGGGCCACCCCCATGGAGTGGGGCATAGAATCATAGAACACCAGAGTTGGAAGGGGCCATGAAGGCCATCGGGTCCAACCCCTGCTGTTGCAGGACACCAGGTCATGCCATCCCACTCAGAGGGCTGTCCAGTTTCTTCTTGAAGGTCTCTGGTGTGGGAGAGTCCCCCACCTCGTTTTGCATGCTGCTCTGCATGTGTGTTTGCTGGGGTGCTCTCCATCCCTGCTACTTAACTGACCCTTCCAGCACCTGTGCAGCAGGCAAGCAGCATCACCAGCAGCTCTCAATGGGGGGGCACCGGTGGTTGTTCCAGGGGAACTAAGAGGCTTTTCCCACATTCGGGTGCCCGCTTTTCGCCTCCCCTCCGGACAGCCCTGCTCTGCATATGGCAGCGGTTCCACCAGCACAGCAGTGGTGCATCTCCAGTTGTGGCATAAAGGCAAGGACAGGACTGTTCTGTAGGTACCTGGCTGGGAACCAGCAGCTGCCGCTTCAGTGGACATGGACCTCTCTTTCTGTCTGAAGATATCACGAGGATTCACTGATCTTTGTGATATTAGTGATGCTGCTTCCTGTGTGAAGAAAAAGACGCATGCAATCCCAATGAAAACACAGTGATTCAAGGCAATTAAACCTAGCAATTACAATCAGGCCTGCTATCCAGGCTGGGCAGGCAAGGGTGGACAGCTGCCTGGAGCTGCCAATGTCTTACTGCATTCAGAGCAGCCTTCTTCAACTCTGTGCCATCCACTTGTACTGGACTACAGCTCCCATCACCCCATTGACCATGCGGGCTGAAGATGACTGGCGCTTCAGTCTACACGAGTGGGGAGCACAAAGTTGGGGAAGATATTCTAATCTAAGTCATCACTAATCTGGCACAAGGAAAGAAAAAAAAACCCCACAGACACAGATTTGTGTCAGAAAAGTTATTATATTCTTTTAGGCTAGAATGGAGTACAGAACCTCTGGCCTGAAGGCCTAAATCAAGCCCATACAGTTTCTTGGGGTTCCTCCAGGTAGCAGGGCTTAGATTCATTTTATTTATTTATTACATTGGTACCCCACGGATTTTTCTTTTCAAAGAACACAAGGCAGCTTATATAAACCTCCACCTCTCAGTCATCCTCACAACGACACCCCTGTGGGGTAGGTTGTGCTGAGAGTCTGTGCTTGGCCCAAAGTCACCCAGTTGGCTCCATGGCTGAGCAGCGACTACAACCCAGATCTCATGAGACCCAGTCCTGTACTCTAAACCACTACACCACGTTCCTTGGAGGGCATCCCCCTGCTGCGATCATGGATCTAACAGCAACAGTAGGGATTCTCCTGCTGACATGGGCCAGCAACAGAACCCCTGCTGTTATCTCCAATCTCAAATCGGGACCTCAGTAAGAGTGTGGCAGCATCAGCATAAAAAAAGGTAAGAGGAGAACGACATCATCTGCCACTAGCCTCTGCTCCAAAACCGCTTTGTACCCCCAGTCTAGACCATGAGGCAGACAGATCACACGAAGGGGATAAAAAGGAATTCACATGCTTTGCTCAATCTCCTTTGGTAAACCATCGGTTTCCCTGGGGCAAAAATAAGGTGAAGGCCTTGCTTCTACCCTGGTAAGCGCCTAGCCTGGCACTATAAAGACATATGAAGGCTTAGAGGTAAAGCATAAGAACAATGAATACAATGGGATTATCAGGGCTTGTAGGAAGATATATCTACCTGTGAGATCCTCATGTACAGCACAACAGTCCCTTGTAGATCCTTTAAACATACTCATTATCAAAGATCAAACGAACGAATGAATGCATACGTATTGTAGTAAGTGAGCTTGACATTCCACCAAGAGCAAGGTTGATGAAGAATAGCCAGTTATTCGTATCATGTCATGAATTTACTGCTATAGAACAGGGTTAGTAAGAAGGCTTCAATGCTGCAGTCCATGAAACTCAAGGTAAGGGCAAATTCCCCCAGAGAAAGCCAGTCAGCATGCATAAAAAGGTTTCTCCAAAAGTGATACATGCTCTTTTAGAAGACCCAAATTAGGATGGGAAGGAAAACATTGCTCATTATCAAGAGTCCCACATGCAACCGGGCAAGTTTTAAGGTTCAAGTCAAGGTTCCAAAGAAGATGGGGAAAAATCCAAGCAAGAAGTATTAGCCAGGACTGTCTCCAGAGAAGAATCAGTTCCTACCATTGCAACTGAAGATCAGTGCGTAGGCTGTAAGTTTTATTGCGAGTTCAGCCGACATGCTTATTAATCTCAGTCTAGCCCTTCAGACTCACCAGTACTCTGGCATGTATGTGTGGACATGTTACTAGCTGTGGAGTGTGTGTGTAACTCCTGAATATTGCATTCCTGAGCAGCATTTCCAAATTTGAGCTCATGATTTAGAAAACATTGGGCTGATAGAATGCCTGCTTGCTCTCCAGCCAGTAATTTTTGTGGGCTTATTTACAAAGCTTGTCATGAGTGGGGTGAGGTACAGCTGGCATGGGAACAAAATTTGGGCTAGGCTGCACCCGTTAAAACTTGAGTTCTGGAAGGAAGACTAAACGGTGGCAAGCATTTGGTGGCCTTTTTGTGGCAGTCATCTGAAACACTGCGGACGGATTACTGGAAGAGAGACTGTACAACTGAAGAAGAGGATTAATACTGAAGAAAGTGGGAGAGATAAGTTTTCTTTTAAATAGAGTGGATGGATCAATATCGCATCTTCAAGGTAAATAAAATCACACACAACTGAGTGGCAAAGAGGCAGACTGTGGAACTCAACATCTTAGGGGATGTTGAAGATGAAGGAAAAAAACAAGTTTGAAAGGAATGACCATCCATAGGAATGACCAGGCTACCCAAAACTGTAGGAGGCTTATAATGAAATTATGTAGGTTTTGTTTGGACTAAGGTCTAAGTAAAGGTGCATTATTTCCAAACTGGCTTTTCATCAGAAAATGTGGTGCTGAAAGCCAAGAGTACTGGGATCGATGGAGCTAGTTCTCGTTCAGCAAAGCCATGGGCATCACTGCTTTGACCCACTTTTTACTGAGAAGCCGCCCGAAGAGGATAGATTCAGAGATGCAGAGGAGGAGGTAGAGTTGGTGGCTGTTGGTACCCAGAGAACTGAAGCAGAGCTGTTGAGCAGCTCTCTCGTGTGTACCTGAGCTTTCTCCACAGACTCACTTCTCCTTCGGATACCCTGCTGCCTCTTGCAGTGATCTTCCTCCTCTTTCTGTAACATAAGATGATTCCCTTACACTACGGTAAGGTGAACTAGAGGCGGATCTCAGCCTATGGCTCCACACTCTACAAGATGGAACTGAGGCGAACGAAAGAAGAATTTAGGTGTTGATACATGAACAGAATGGGCGGCCTTTGCTGTAGGTCATGCAGTCTATCGAGAAGAATGACAGACACCTCCAAATCTCTCCCTACCAGGTTTAAAAGTGCAATGGACATTGTCCAAGCTTTCCAGATGAAGGAATAACATCCACAGGTTCAAAGCTGTACTCCTGGATCTTGACACTCTCTTGCAAGTGTCGGGAAAAGATGCCGTGTTGTTCCGAGTTACGATCTCAGGCAAGACAAGACAATTCCTTTGCATTCAAAAGCCTTTAAAAAAAAAAAAAAACCAAATCTGACAACTTCAAACCTCACCCGTTGTTGCTTATCTCTGTCTCTTGACTCTGTTTCCTGTTGTTGCTGGAATTTCCTGCAGATTGGGGAAAAAACAAAACAAAAAAGAACTAGTGTTTGAATTTTCAACATAGATGCGTTTCTCACCATTAATGATCCTAACTTCATCTGGCTCTCTGCTGGCAAAAATGCATGGCTTTCTACCCAGCCCGAGTTATTCAAAAGCTGCAAGCGATGTCATGCTTATGAAATTCCGTACAAAGGGGAACCCAATTTGGAAAAGGCAGGCTCTTTCATGGAAACATTTGGTTACTGCTGCTGTGCAGAGTATTTTGTTTTAATATGATATAATTTTAATATAAAAAAACCAAAAGGGTGAAACTTTTTCCCTATTTTGTTTTGTAATACATTAATACATATGGCAGCAAGTTTTCCTGAAAACTAGTAAAGGGAAGCCCAGCACTCTGCAAATGTTCCTTTGTTTCTTTTAGTTAATTAATTAATTTCATTAATAAGGCATCTGCTACATCTCTATTCCAATAAAGGTGCTGTTATTGAAAATTTCTGAAATATAGTACTGGATGACGTTAACCAGTTTATCTTTCCACTTTTCCATTCTGCACCTAGTTCTGGAACCAATGCGCTAGTCTAACTCAAACGTATATTTTCAAGGCTATATGAAATATTATGTTCTCCACTATGTTTTTGGCTGCTTTTACGTAATATATTGTTTCTTAATTGCAAGGCTCTTGGGGGTCTTGACCAACTTATGTAATATGGTTAACAAACACCTAGTAGGCACAAAATACAGGTTATTCAACTTCTGGAGCAAAAGGGGCATAAAAGAGCTACTTCTTCCCACTTTGGAAGAACTACAGAAAGTCTCCCTAAACATCTGACTCAAAGAGCTGCACAAAGGTTTTACTGTCACATCCTCTCATTCACCGCCACTCCACTTACCCACAAGCCGGGAACCACACTCCTTGAGCCTCACTTCCTAGGTCTAATTATTTCTAGTGCTAAGTAGCATGACCTTTCAGGGGTAGTAAACCACCTCCCCAGGGCTTGCCGCAGCCCATCACCCAAAAGGGCTTCTTCTTTTGCAGGTGCTGCAGTGTGTCATTTTTTGAAGGGTTCATGATTCATTCTCGTTTCTTTGTTTGGCTACTTGGTACTGATTTTGGGTAAGCCTTTAAAAGGCACCTGTTTATAGTTCTAAAAATAACAAGGGAAAACATTTGCTCCTTGAACGGTGAAATGGAGCCCATAGTGGTACAGCACCTCCAACGGATACGGAAAGCCGTGGATGCTGTCCATTGCTTGCTGTCTCTTTCAGGAACCTTAATGGATTGGTACTGTATTCTTGAATTGTTTAAAACTGCGGTAAGGTGTCTCGGAGACAAGCTGATCAAAAGGTAGGTGTAGTTCTCTTTAAATGTATAAAACAACCATTCCCATTCCAAAAAGTTTGCATGTATTTCTGTAGGTTCAAATTCCATTTCAACTATAATAGTCACAAGCTGGTCCTAGGAAAGCCATTTTCTCACTCTAAGCAACCTCATCGGATTGCTGGGAGGTGAAAGCCCTTCTTTGGCCTCCTGGGAGGAAAGGGTGGCTACGTACTTGCAGACTTAAGTAAATGTTCTTGCGAAGTGCTTTTTCTGTTTTTTTTAATCACAAGGAAGCGCTACAGAAAAAGAACACTTGTCCCTTCCTCCCTATTAGTTATATGAATATGAAATTAATTACATGGCTTTATGTATGTAAGATATGCAATTGCTCTGACAAAGATAGAAACATGGAATTGTTCTGAGAGATAGAAAGAGTTGCAGCTGAAAGAAGAAAGTAAAACCGACTGTGGCTGGATGATATTTGTATAATCAAGTGACTAACAATTGAAATAAGATTATTTATTACAATTCTATACCACCCATAGGCAAAGCTCTCTGGTGTATAAGCTACTGCTGACAGTTACACTAACTAGTCTGCTGTAGTAACACACCAGCAAGTCGTTTCCATCAGCCTACGAATGAACGAACGAATGAACGAACGGCCTCCACAATGTCCTATTCAATTCTTGTAGGTTGAAGCTTGTGGCTTCCTTTACGGAATCCACCCATAAGCTCTGGCAAGTGGAGGTCCTCTTTGTTGAGCTGTGCATGGTTTCTGACTGGGGTAGCGGCTTCATTCAGGAGGCCACACTAGGGGCCGTGGGTTCAAATCTGCTGCCTTACTGCAGTCAGAGACAAGAAAAACAAGGAAGAGAAACTTGAAAGTTCCTCCTCTTCAGCTCAGCTCAGCTCAGCTCAGAAGCAGCTTCTCTATTTGCTAAGTAAGAACCCAGCAAAATACGTGAGTCACGTTGGATTAAAGCATCTTAATTCACTTTCACCGCACTTGTACATAGCAGATTCATGCTTTGGGATGAGGTGCAAACTACAGCAAGTATGAGATTGGGGTGAGGTGTGAGTTCAGAGCAACTACAGGCGTGCACAGAGGCAGTTTTTACCGTTATAGGGAAAACAATGTGCCAGAGAGAGCGAGAGAGCGAGAGATGGGCTGCTGCACGGATGACTTCCTGTGGATCTGTAACAGGAAATCCGCTTAGAGAAATGAAAAACTCAAGGTTAAGTTCACAGACAGCCTGCTTACTGGGGCTTCCTGAGCAGTTTGGGGTGGGCTGAGGTCAAAGGGGCAACAACGTAAAAGAGGAGTCTGCAATGCAGAGAACATCAGCCACATATCTCTGGAATAAGGCCCACTTGAATGTTGAGAGACAAAGCTGTGAGAAGATAAAGGGATGCCTTGCTGGAGATTCTGGAAGTGCAGTAATATCTAGAACTTCTCAGGCTGGGAAGGTCACTCACACTTCTGAAGGAGTTATTCAGGAGCACTTCTCTGACCTACTGTTCACAGGCATTTTAAAAATACAAATATGGACAGAGTGTTTGTTCTTTCCCACACTAGCCAAATATGTTGTGAAGCTATACAGATTTATATTCGGCTTCAAAATGTTGCTTTCTGCATTAGATATAGCCATACTTTTTGAAAAGGGTAAGCACAGGTCTTACTTCCAGGGCATTTATATGGATACACAGGTCAAGAACTGAGCTCCAGTGTCCCATTCTTTCCAGATTTTAAGTTTCCTGTTTAGCAAAGATAAGAAATGCCGGGGATTGTAAGTGTGTTTGCCTAATTTTGGCTGTTTTAGGACAAGGCTTCCAGACTCACTTCTGGGCATCTATCTCATTGGCCCGCTCCTTAAATCTTTGCTCACGTAAAGTTGCTTCCTGCAATTCCCGCTCCCGGCGCTCCTTTTCCAGGCGCTTGCGCTCTTCTTCTGCTTTTCTCTTTTCCTCTAGCCGACGGTTCTCCTCATCTTTCTGAAACAGTGAGTGACACAAGCCTGCATTAGGAACAGCCAGCTTTGCAGATTAATATAATCTTTTAACACACCAGATGTGCATCTTTCACGCTACATTAAAGACACCAGTTGAACCTGAGAACAAATGAGAAGATTGTTCTATTCATGTTTCCTTAAGAATTCGCTAACATTTGCCAACATCCTCTTAAACAGGACAGAAAAAAACGTGACAGTAGGAGAAACCAAAAGGGACAGATCGGGCCATCCCTAGTTGTATTTAATGCTTAATTTCATTTTAATACTTATATCCAGACACATGTTGCCATGCTTGTCATCAACTTAATAGCCTTTCCAAATAAATCATACATGGTTCACCATAACGAACGCCTCTACCACCTCAAGAGGACTGAAACACCTCAAAAGCAGCACCGAGAAATTACAACGCCTGGCTCATTATGGAAACTTACACAGAGTTTTATAATGGCCCGGTTCCTACTAGTTTCTGTACTCCCCCTTCACAAAGTATGTATTTATTCTTTATAGATATTCTTTATTTATTCTTTATAGCCTACCACACCTGAAGATTTGAGGCATAGATCAAAAACAACACTCTTGCCAAAAAAAAAAAAAAATCAAAGCCCACATAATCCATCCCCAAACACATCATTGTCTTTTCACATTATTGCAACTTAAATCTCAACTTCAAAAAGCAACCCAAGTGGGTATATCATACAACTCTTTGTCAAAGTGCCTAAGGTTTGGATTTTACAAGCTTGCTAATGAGAAAGAGTTCCTTGGGTAGGGGGAAAGCCACCAAGGCCATGGCTCCTTTCAGTGTTGTTGTCTTGTCTCATTTCATTAAAAGGGCATCCTTAACGAATCTCAAAGATTTTAAAGGAGCAAATGGGAAGAGAACACCTTTAAGGCAGTCTTCTTCAAGCTGCTGCCCTCCAGAGGTGGCGTTGCAATTCCCAACACAACTGGGCTGGCAGTGCTGGCTGAAATGATGAAAGCGCCAGTCCAAGAGCTCTGGAAGGCACCAGGGTAGGAAGGCCTCTTTAAGGTAGACTAGGCCTAAGATGCCGAGGGTTCCATAGATCATAACCAGCTGTTTGAACTGAGCTTGGAAGACAACAGGAAACCAGTACTGTAATGAGTACCAGTATTATAAGACATTTTCTGTTGAAACTAAGAACTACTTTGGAGGAGAATAATGTAAATAAACATGCCACCAAAATTTTTACAATTCTTTGCTTACTGATTGGTTACAAACACAGACAATTTTCTCCACTGTCTTGAAATGCTATTTCTTGCTCTGTGAGAGATCAAGCATGCAATAAAAATGTGAGAAATATAAAACCCCCTCCAGCAAAGCAAAGTAAGACAGGAAATGTTTGAATACATACCTCTGCTTTGGCCCAGAAGTTGTCTTTACTGATTCTTTTGATCTCAGACATGGCATTAGTTTTCTGGTAGACTGAACCCTGTTGCATAAGACAATCATACTACTTTAAAACTTTCTTGGTTTAATTGCTATTAATTAAATAAAAATGCCACCAAGCTGGTGAACCTCTTGGAGTTACTTAACTAGGTAACTATTAACAAGACACTTTTTAAATAGCCCGCTGAAGCCAACAGTAATAAAACAGAGTCTATTCTGATACTCTGCAAAGGCCTTGTGCAAAAGTGAGTTCAGAGTGCATCAGGTCATTTTATAGCTACCGTATACCTCCTGGTAGTTTTACCAGGCAAACTTCTAGGTATCAGACAAGTCTGGGAAGTTACATGCTCAGAAAGAAAATTTATTCTCTCTGAAAAAATGATTATAAAGTTAAGGTTTGGAGAAGTTTTCTAGATATGAAATGTAGAGTGCCTGTGACTTGGATATCTGAACTTGGATATTGTTTTAGCAAAATGGGGAGAAATTACAGAACAGGGAAATAACAAAGTGGATTTTAGAAAGGGAACGAAGCAGACGAACTTCAAAAGAAGTCCATTTAAAGTAGAGGTGCAGAACCTGGGCTTGAAAACTAACCTGGCATGCCTGACCTTCCCCAGACCCCTTTCCTCTAACCAGTGATCTTTGAGTGGTTTGACTTCCCCCCAATTTTAGTAGACTAAAATGCTTCCCTTAGGGCTTAGTTACTAGGGATTAATCCAATGCCCTCCTCTGATCTTGGAGGCTGACATGCACCCAATGCATTTCTGCAGTGGCAGCATCCACCATTAATTTAATCTAATCTCAATGGCCATCTGGGGAAGGGGTAGGGAAGGAGACTGGGACACTGACAGGACGTAAAGCTGCTGCCCCCTGCCCAAAAAGCCCAATCGCGTTCTTGGGGAGGCAGCCAACTAGCACGATCCTTTCCACACAGAATGCAAGGGGGACGTCAGACTCCCAGAGCACCACATTCCAAGGTGGCTATCTTAGGCTCTGAATCCAAACTGGAAGAAGACGTGGGATCAGAATGCTTAGCCAAATTACAAAGGCCAGATAAGAAAAGCCAAGCGGCAGGTCAGAACCACCCTCTGGTTCAGGAGGAGTAGTAAGGAATGGGGTGGGGTGAAAAGGGAGGGTCTGATACCACTAAACCAGCCCAGGGCTATCAGATCATGAGGAGCACCAGCGTGTGGCAGGGAAGGGAGGAGGGAAATTCAGTCTGGAATCAGCTTCTGGCTCACTGGGAGAGATTCAACATTCATGATTACAGGGCTTGTTAACATCCTAGATACTAATGACCTTTGAGTTACTCCTTTTGTTTCACAAAGCCAGTCCCTAACTTGATCATTAACTCTTGATCAGCTGGGAAGGAGAGAGCTGAGGAGTGGGACAGCGCCTCCTCTCAACGGGGAGCAGGGTAGGAGCTTGGCCTTCAGAGTTTCAGTTTGAACTGGAGTTCTGAGTAATCCTGCAGCTCCCCAGTGCCGGGAAGCCGTGGGACTGCATCTTAAATTGCTTTAAACTAAACATGCTGGTATTTTGGTCCCGGCATTATTGCCTTTGTTCCCATCTTCCCCTGGATGTGGCCTCCTATGAGTTTTCCTGATGCTGAATTAGGCACTTCAAAGTATTCTGCCCAATACTTCTTCTTACACCAAGAAGAGGAAGATTTAAAAAATAACATTTTATTTACCCATTATTTTAAAAGTTGATTAGGTTTTTAATGTATGATTTCATTACTGGACGCTATGCTTCATTTTTATCCTGGCCATTCCCCCCCCCCCCGTTTTCATTGTAAGTCCATTCCAAGACAGTGGTAGTTGGACAGTATACAAGAACCTTAAATAAAGGAATTGCAACACTAAGAAGGTCACTGATAAAAATCAAGTAAAAGGGGGAAGCACCAAAAGGAAAGACACAACACAGATAAGATTTGTTTAAAAATATGTGCAAGCAACCATTTTGGTATATTTGGATTTTTAACAATCCAGACAGCAGCAATTTTCTAATCAGGATCAAAGTGAAAATACTGACTCTTGATTCTGTAATGGAGGGAGGAGTTGCCTACACCACAGAAGTAAATTTTGAATGTCAACTTCTATTCTTCTCAGCAAACATCTGTGTAGCTTCAACAATTCTCCTCCTACAATCTTCCCCTGTAACATTTTTTCCCACAAGCAGAACCTCACCCACGGGCTATAAAAGGATACCAGTACAACTAAGGTTCTTAACATGGCAGAGAAGTCTCTAATTTTAAAGCCCAGCAAACACTGGAGACCAATTCAAAATTTAACCTCTTTGTAGTACAAAACAGTAGATACTAATACGATGAGAAACAAGATAACTTCTATAAACATAATCAAGTAAGGAGATCCAAGTATTAAAGAAAACAAACTGTTAGAATGCAGGCTGTTTAAATTTACCAGGCAACCACTCTTAAACCTAAGGTTTTACAAGAATATTACAATATTAAGACAGAAGAAAAGGATGATATACCGTATTGATTATATATTGCCTGAACCCAATGTTAGAAGGCAGACTAGAGGCTTCAAAGACTCAAGTTATGCCAATTTTTGCAGCTATAAACAGCTTATAAGTGGAGTTTCTGTTCTGTGGGGAGATGCAAAGTAATCTTGGTCTATGACAAGCAAGGGCATGATCTTCGGGATTTTATGTTCCTTAATAACATGGTGCCTTGTACTTCTAACTTGTCTCCCATGCTCTTTACTGGATCCTCATCCTTGCTGCTGCAAGCTGCTAAGGCTACCAACAGCCCGGGGGAACTCACCACAGGTGCCTGAGGGCCTGCATCCTGGAACTTGCTGCCTTCTTTGTGAAAGTTGTAGTTTGCTCCGGAAGCCTTAGACACTTTCTCCATGATAGTATCTGGTTCCACATCTTCATCAGCCCGAGCATTTATTGTTACATGAGCACCCTGGAAAACAGGGGATGTGGAGAAAGAACTGCTCAGAGGACAAGAGGAACATCTTCACCAGCACAAGAGGATTTCCTCATCTTAGCCAAGTTCATGACAACTTCATTTGTTCTGCCCCATCTTTCAATATAAGAAGCTCCCCAAGTGACTTTCACGCAATGCTTTTTACATTGTGGCCATTCCATCCCTGCTGATACACCACTGCTCTGGGCTGCCTCCCCTTGCCTTCAAACCTCAGCCTGTCATGCCTGTTCCCCATTGCCCTGCAGGTCACAGCACGATCCAACTGGGTAGACGACAACATGGCTTGGCACTGCTTTCTCCCTTTGCCCTCTCCCACCCTAGGATTGTAGGTCTTCTCATCGGCCAAGGGCACTGGCCAAGGGCACAGAAAGAGAAAGGACTCAGGAACCGTTGCTGAGTTTTGAGTGAACTGCAACCTCATGCAATCAGACGTTTTGTTTCCTGCCTATACACTCCCATAACAATGATGGTAGCTGTGTATGCACAACGGTCCTGCTGAGAAACTATGCTACTGGAAAGAAGGAGAAGCACATTCATGTAGTTAGAAGGTTCTACAGTTTTTCTTTTTCTGCAGCCTGAAAAAATGGCAGGGATGAACCAAGTCGAGAGAGCAAACTGACCAACACCCCACAAATTATAGTCTAGAAAAGTCAAGTATAAGAGAAATAACAGTAGTTTTAAAAGGTACAGAAAAGGAAATGTGAATTAAAAATAGGATTGCCTCCTTCTACCCCTACCAGAACTCATTTTTGAAAGTTTAACCTGAATAGAATAAAACTTTAATAAGAGAACCAACAGGGTAAGACAGAATTTGATATTTGGTATGGTGACTGACACAGCTAAGTGCCACATAAAGGCAGCTGTATTATTCTCTTCCCCCAATATACTGCTTTTCTTTTCTTTTTTAAAAATGAGGTTTCCGTTTACAACTCTCAAACCAAAAAGTGTCTTAGGTGGGAATTCTCAGTGGTTGGGAAGGGATCTTTTATCTCATAGCTCCCAAATAATTCCTAGCCATGCTTCTCTTTTCAGTAGGTCAAAGTTGCTGCCAAAATTCTGGGAAAAATCCAACTAAACAGAGTTAGGTAGTTTTCTAATGTCTGGGCATCATGTATATAGGGAAAAGAATATGGGTTTCTTTGCCAGCAATATTTCTGATAATGTACATCACTAGGAAAACCTGAAGTAGGTCAGGCAGTGAGCAAGAATGTTTGGAAGATTCTTCCCTGCATTCCAATATGCTTATTATTTGTTTTACAGTAATACCTTGGTTCATGAACGCTTCCATTTGTGAACAATTCAGTTCAATTTTCTCAGCCAAGTAGGATGTGATGTCTAGAAAAGTATGGAGGGCCCCCAAGCCTTAGTTTTGTACAGATGGCTATCAAGACAAGGCTAACTTAATAGCTTTGCATTGGTTGGTGGCTAACCAAAGTCAGGAGAACACATGTGACTGTTGGGGAGACAGATTTCCTCTTCGGAATCTGGCCAGAAAGAGAAGCCCAAATTCTGCCTTACCTTACCTTCGGAAAACTGCTAAGACAAGGGCAGGAAACTGGTACCTGCCAGATGTGTTGTACTACAATCCCCATCATCCTTGATCACTGGCCATGCAGATGGCAACTGTATTACAAAACATCTGGATGCGGGGAGAAGAATCATGGCTAGTCCAAGTCTAGCACAGATGATCATGAAGCCCATATGCCTCCCGCAGCTCAGTTTACATGCTGGTGTTCCCGGGCGCCGTACCTCTCCAGTGCTCTCTTCCCGCAAGGCAACTGTTAAGCAGCTGCCCCCACAAACATCCTACCACTTGGGGAAGGAACACAAATATATATATTTCTCCCATACTTCCAACAGGGCTTGACTTTCACAAAAAACTGCAGAGCCATTTGTGTGGGAGGGCAGTGAGCTTAAGGAAACAGAGATTCAATACCTTCAAGAAGTTTGCCACGGAGCTGACATGGTTGGCACAGGCTCCCTTCCTCACATCATTAACGCCTTCGCCAAACTGCCAAAACAAAACATCAGGATTTTTTAAAGGGGAATTCGTGTCAAAGATTATTTATTTTAAGAAATGGATTTGCCAGCTTCCACAAGGAAAAGGGAAGACGGGAAGAAATGATTCTTATGATATTAGTGAAGAGATCAGAATAACACAGCGCTTTCCCACCAACTGTTTATGTTAACTATTTGTAGCAAACCATTTATCATGACAAGGTCTGGCCCTAAGCTTTAAGTAAGAGAAAACGGTATGAAAAGAATGCACAGCATTCTGGAACATGTCGTGAAAATATGACAGTTTGGGAACACAGAATTCTAAATATCAATGACTTTAAAATACTAAATTCTGGGCAACCTGGTACTTTCCATATATTTTGGACTACAATCCCCACAACTTCTGCTCACTGGCCATGCTGGTTGGGGCTTATGGGAGCTGTTGTACAAAAGATGTGGAAGGAACCAAGTTGTTTACTCCAGTTCTAAAGGATGTTTACTAATTTGAATATTAATCTAAATACCCCAGATACTTTAATCACATTTTACTTTGAAATAGACAAGAACCAAAAATCTGATTGACCTCAGCTAGCATATTTTTTCCAAAGATAACTTAGGATGTCTGCCAACTGCTAGTGCAAAGGCTGAGCTAACTGCCTACAACGTTTGCTCTACTTTCTGTTAGCTTGTTTTCCTTTTAGTCAGTTTATTATCAAGTGTTTACTCTTGCACTGAAGCTCGCTTGATAGTTATACTGGGGATTTAGGGGAGCTTTGTTGACAATGAATGTATCCATATTTTCATTTATAAAAAATATTTAGGAATGCGATCAAAATGAATACAACTATCAAAATGAATACAAAATATCACACTGAGAGCCAGTGTGGCGTAGTGGTTAAGAGCACGGGACTGGGACTCAGGCGATCTGGGTTGGAGTCCCCGCTCAGCCATGGAGCCAACTGGGTGACTTTGGGGCAGTCACAGACTCTCAGCCCAACCTACCTCACAGGGTTGTTGTTGTGGGGATAAAATAGAGGAGAATGATGTAAGCTGCCTTGAGCCCTTTGTAGGAAAAAGGCAGGATATAAATCGGGGGAAAAAATATTAAAGTACTTGATTTTTCCCACATCTTTGCTCAAGGAGATAAATGGAACTAAATGCAACACACAGCATCACTGGCTTCATCATGAGTCAGACATTCAGCAGCTATTCTCCCCCCCCCCCCCCCACACACACAAATATGGTACAGATGAACCTTATCCCAGTTTGTAATGCAACACTGAACTGCAGTGTGTCACAAACTGGAATTGGAAGGGCCTGATTTCCACATCCAAAAGAAGGAAGGGGAAAACTCAGGAGCCTGAGCAGCATTCTCATGCTGCCAGACTCTGGACTGCCATTGCATTTAAAGAGCCACACTCTAAATGTTTGATGGGGAAGAGATTTCTAGTTCATAGAAGGACCCTGTATCTGCCTCCTGAATATTCAAACACTGGCCGATCATTCTGAAAGAGGTTTGTTACCAGGAGGAAGTGTTTTATTTATTTATTTTTCCATAAGAAGAATGACATCCCTCTGAGTGTGGAAGTGAAAGAAACATAATCTACATACCCAATTGATGAGCACATATTTGGGCAAACCGGAGTTGGGATCTTTCACCCTACAGAAGGCATACATCACTTTCCCACTGTTGAGTTCTTCCACCATCTCCTCCAGGCCTCCATCTATATATTGTTCGACAAGAAGAATGAGAGGCAGTGAAAGCGACCCACTAACTTGGTCAACTTAAACCAGTATACATAGACAAGACACCTCTAGAGTAACATACTGCACCGAAAGGTAACTTCCAGCTGACCAAAAATAAAGGCTGCACAGGGTTTGTGCTAGATCAATGAAACATTTGGCTCTTTTGTTCTTATAGTTTGTGCAACTCACACACTGCTTTACAAACTTCCCTTGAGGAAGCCTTTGAGACGCTTCCTGGTTTCAAAAGCATCTTGCCATGCTGAATTGAAGGAACCTCTTGAGGTTCAAGAAAAACAAGCCTAGCACCCACTTGCATACACAGGACCAACTCCCTATTTATGGAACCTGGCTATTGCTATCATAAATGTATCAACAAAGTTGATCTTCTGCAACATTCAGAGTAGCGTTGGTGTACATAAGGCTGGGCTTGGATGTTAGTGTCCTATGTGCTAATGCAGCGTTCTGTTCTCTCCTCGGCAACAAAGTTCACTTGATGGCATTAGACAAATCGAGAACTGTAAATTACACCATACTTTGAAAACAGCTAGATATACAAGGGAAAAGCAATGCGAAGTGATGGAGTCACTATCCTTTATGCATTTCTCCCAGAATCAACTGGTGATGCCAAAGGAGCATGTTATCATCTTAAGACCAGCCAAAGGAACATTAAAAGCTTCTAAAGGTAAACTGAACCAATGAAAGAGGTCAAAACATCCATCAAGAAATATTACTCCACCATAAAATATTCAGGAAGCACATTACTTAAGCAGGCGTAAGCCCAACATCTTGCTTTTTCTCCAGAGCTCTTGCAGAAAATGCACTGGGAACTCAGAGTGAAAAAACAGGAGCTAACAGGAGTTACTTGAGAGAACTGGAAAATAAGAAAACTCTAGGTTGCAGAAAATATTTAATGATACTCTTCAGGAAATACAGGCATTTGCCATATTGAAGTGTGGTTGGAAACAGCAATCAATGAATCATCTCGTCTTTCTCCAGATAGGCAATTTCCCCAATCTCCACCCAAAAGTCTGAACCAGGGGTGGGCAATTAATTTTCCTATGGGGCCACATGAGAAACTTTGACAGTTGTTAAGGGCCGGACCAATACACTTACAGCTCTGCTCAATATATATCTCTATAAAAACAGTAAATGAAACATTACAATGATATAATGAAAACGTAGAGCACAGAACAACACTATTTAATGAATATTCACAAAAACATTAAAATTACATGAAAAGCAATAAATTCAATTTAGCAGATCCTTCAAAATAAAAGCAGTGCAGTTGTATTGCTTGCATCTATATTACGACGATATATATTTGCATTGACTTTTAATTTGCCAGTGACCTTATGCGGGCCAGTCAGGGTCAGCCATCGGGCCGGATGTGGCCCGCGAGCCGTACAATGCCCAGGTCTGGTCTGAACTGCACAGCAAGAAAATGCACTCTTTAACTATGACCTGATGAAGTCTGTCATTTGTGCATTTATATTTCTGCAGCAGAACCTTAATGCATGTATTTTAAGAACCACCTGGACACAGACTGGCATTACTGGTACAAAAGAGATGGCACATGCCTGAAGACCTTCAGATCTGCATGCGAAGCCAACCCTGTCAAACATCCTCTGAAGCATCTTCACTGGAACTTACTGCCAGGAAGCAAGAGCTTTCTGGCAGAATGTGCGCGCACGGGGCTGCACCCTTAGAAAACCACAGGGTGACGCAGTTTCAGGATGCATATTTTGCCCTAAAATGACTGGCAATAGAGTGAAGGGATGGTCAAACATTTCCGCCATGCTTGATGACGCAAGCCTTCATTTATGTTTTGCCTACAACTTGGTTTGCAAAGGCTTCAAATGCAAATCCAGTTTTTCCACAAAGTGGTTCTTTCCATCCCCTCATTACCAATTAAACAGTTGTGGCTGGGGAGCTTCTTGCTAAAATAAAAAAAATCCCCTCTTTTGTTTTGACAGTCACATACTTTGGTCCCCTTAAGTAGAAGCCATCCTGCCCACCCGCCCTGTGGCTGAGGGCCCAATTTGAACAAGCTGACACCTCAGGAGCTGGCCGCAGCTGCACTTTCCTCCCCATCTTCCCCAAGAAAAACTACTGAATTATTAAGCACCGTCCGCTGCTTCCCCTTTTCAAGAGCTTAAGGAGAACAGTTTCAAGATGATATAATCTATATTGCAGTTCTCCTTTTCTACCGCCTTTCAACTAAATTTTCCAGGAAATGTGGGCCCCGCGGCTTTCATAACTGGAGAAGGAGAATAACCTCTGTCTTTTTCATATTATGATAAATAGAGCAGTTCCCCTGGAGGAAATGGCACCTGCCAGAATCCTCCGTCCAAGATAGAATGGACTTTGCTAAGTTGATCTACAAAGAGATAAACAAAGGCACAATCTAGGGCTTAGCTTGGACATCACACCAAATTGTAGTTTGTCCCAACTGTGGATCAGAACTCATGGTCTGAGCGTCACCCCTTAGAGGCATAGCATAGTACAGAGGTATGCGTCTGCTTCTATCAGCTCCTCAAACCACAGTTTCTTTACTGGCTTTCATCTTTTCTATTTAATACTCCTGTTGCTATGTTATGGTTGCAGTTTGCATTCTTCCAAGCCATTAACCTTTTTCCTGCACCCCTGCTGTTTCAGACTAGGGGTTCAGAATGATTTAACTATCCCTGCCATAACCATTCTAGCTATCAACCCCTCTGTTCCACCCTGAGCCCTGAAAGCATGTGCAAGAGGCAACGTACTGCTTCCTCTCTTTTAACCGAGCAGAGGCGTATTTCCACTTTGCCTCCCACGCTCTGTTTCGCAGGGCTAGGTTTGGGCACTTCTTGGAATCCTCCATGTGCCTGAGCAAGCAGCAACAGGCTGAAAGCCAAAGGGCTACTCTTTCTTGGTGTAGGCAGAAAAGGTGGATACGTCTAGGACAGTAAAAGAAAGATGGCCTAACAGGGTCATGGGGCAGGTTGCACTCGGCTTCTGAAAAACAGCTAGCCAAGCAGACAGCTCTCTATGCCCTACTGAATTAAACAACACAAACTTCTGTAGCAATAGCCAATTAGCTGCACATCTCCAGGCCACATCCTTAAAGCACACTTCTCAAAATATACTCACCTCCAGTCCCAGCCACTCTCAGGTCATTGCTGTTACCCTCATAAGTAAACAGAGCCCTGAAAACAACATATCGAAGGATTAGATTAAAGTAAAATCTATTTTTCTTACCAGCAGTTGAGGCTAAAATTTAATGTCCAGATTGAAATGGACTGTAGAGCTCCAAAACTTACAAGACGACTGCTTCAATCACGTATTCACTATGACCCCATCTTAATTGGTCATTTTCCCTGGATGTCTTCAGGGGAAGTGTGCACAGTGTACTGTTAAATAATCTCTACTTCACACTTAATTTTCACCACAATACCACCTTGCTGTCCCATCTTGCTTTTTCCTTTCCTGAGAAACTTCTCTTCAGCATATTCTCAAACAGCTAAACCATCTTGCCCACTGTCTGATGGAAGGGTGGAATACAAAATTAATAAGATTTAAGGCCAACATTGTTCCTACATCTTCTCACCACCCAAAATTCTCAAAAGGAGTGGGCACCAGATCCAGTTTCCAAATCGATTTGCAAACACTGGCAAACATCCACTGCATTACTTATTACATATTTACTCTTGACCTCAGTGCACAGATATTGTGCTTAAGTCCTGGGCCTTGGGCAAACCAGATTATGACATACAAAAATGCAAACCAGTGCAACATCTCTTCCTTCGGGTTCCTGACAGAGCTGGTACTTTTTCAGGCAGGATTAACGTGTATTCAGCTAATACATTCAACAGGTAACATGGTACCACCGGCTTAGTCTCTTCCTATTGTGCAGTTGTTTCATATTGATATCATGTGGGGAAGCAGCAGCAAACTTTTCCCTAAGCCCCAGTAGCCTGACCTCTCATCACTGCATCCGTCAATCGACCCCCAGAGCACTTCTGCCTTGTTACTGTTTACCCCCCCACAGCAAACATGGAAGGGATGCAGTGACCAGATTTGCAAATCACAAAAAGCCACGGAATTTTTTTACCCTTGTTGGTCAACTATGTCAGAATTACAGAATTTCAGCATGGTATGTTTGGTTTTGGGAAACCACAGACAGAAATAACAGCTTGCTGTATGGTTTCCAGGTTTCACTGCAGCTTCTCATGACATCTGGACCTGAGAACTCCATGTTTCTGTTCATGGTGAAAAAACACAATAGGGTTCCATGCAAAGAGCAAGAATAGGATGAGCTGTTCCAGGCATCTAAGCTCTACTGCCTCACTTTGTTCCTATAGGCTGGCTGCTGTGCCCATCAACCTGTTTACTTTCTGCAATTGGGAGAAAGCAGGTAAATGCAGGGAGAGATAAGGGGGTAATCACAGCAAAAGCATTTATTTTAATATATTGAAAATCCCTTTGAAGGCTGGATTGACTAGAACATGTTAAACAAATGGTGGTTCAATCCGGAAAGGAAAGAGAGAGAACCCACCTCAAAACCTCAGCAGGCCAATCAAGAAGAGGCAACTGAGATCTATAAGTAACACAGCAGAGAGTGGGATTTGGGTTGTGGGGGTTGCTGGGATGCATGTCAAGAGTGGGAGAAGGGAGGGGAGAGCACAGAAACTGTATTTACATGGAAACTGATCAGCTGACCAACAGGCCAAGGTAAAAAAAAATGTGAGCTGTGGAACCAGGCAAATTCTGTGTCATAAATGTGCAAACTCAGCCAATGTACAGCTGCATTTGCGCAGGTGTGTGTGGCTTCGATCTGTATTGCATGTGACAAATTCTCCCATAGCAAAACACAGCAGGTTTATATACCCATGACAAAGCAGACAATCTATACCTGAACTGATTTGTGGAATGCTGCATCTATATTACAACAGGGGATTACCTTTTATAAATTATGTCTCACTGAAGTGTCGAGGAGTGCAAGAAAAGGATGGATGCCCAACACTGAAAGTGGAGCGCCCCACCACAGTACAGTGTCCAACAGCCTCCTGACACAACTCACATCTGTCCGTATCAAAGAATATGCTCCACATGCCTCCCCATCTTCACCCCATCTGGCACGATCTCTACACGGGGAAGTCTTCGACTTCTCCATAAACGGTTCTAGTTTCAGGCCATACAATGGCTTCCGCTTCCGTAAATGTATCTCAAGAGCAGTGTTGGATGTGGGTTTGAAGAGCAGGGATTTAGGCAGGAAGCCCTCAGGCCTGCCCCACTGCTGAACGTGGCACTCCCTTACCACGGTGGTTTGCCCTTCCCCTTGGCCCAGTGCACCCTACTGCCCAGTGCTCTTGTGACGGCTGGTGAACAAGCCAACAGCAGAGACCGAACCAAAGGGAACTCTGAGTCAGCAACGATCCGAGTGTGGGCCAGAAAACTATCAGATCATGCCAAGCATCTGTGGCCGTCCCGCCAAACTACTTAACTGTTCTCACTCTATCACCCCCATCCACCCACGCACACGCACTTGTGTACACTAACTTCCAGATCTACATATTTTTAGACCTACCGCTTCTCTATTCAGCCCCTCATCCTATGCTACAACTCCTCCAGAAGCCTCTCATCCTCCATTACTTCATCAGCATGAAGCACCTACCCTTGCTTCTTGCACGACCTTAACACTCACGGTACTCTCGCATTCTCACACACGCTCCTGTGCTTGCTAAATGCCTAATCTGCATTCTCCCCACATCCACCCCGCCCAGGCCGTCAGCTCATCTAGCCCCGCAGCGTGCGCAGCAGCCTCCCCAAAGTTCCCACAGTCCCAGCTCGGGCCAGTTCGTGCACGGCCTAGAGATGCCTTCGGTGCAGCCAAGCAGCCCAACAACCCCACAGCTCGGTCAAACCACCGCGCGCGCGCTCTCGCTCCAACACGCACGTCTGCACAGGGTGCACCCAACTCCGGCATCGCCCCACCACCCCACCCGCTCGGCCAGCCCCACGCCATGTGCTGCCTCGATCCGCTACCGCACATCATCTGCCCCGCTTCCCACAGCGCGGCCGAGCCCCTCGCCGCGTGCGCCGCACTCCCACCCACCCCAAATGCACCACCCACCCCAAATGCGCGCCCGGCTCTCCGCAGGCCAGGCCTCCCACCCGAGCCCCGCGCCCAGCCTTGCGCCCAGCCAGCCCCACGCCCAGGGCTCCCCCGGCCCGACCCGCACGAGGCAGCCCCCCTTCCCTGGCCCGGCACTTGAGCCCGCCCGGCCCGGCCCTGCCCTGCCCCTTTCCCCAGCCGACTGCGGGGCGCCGGTGCCCGGACCGGGGCGAAGGGGGAGGCCGGGAGAGGGGGTCGGGCCGAAGGTGCGAGCTCACCAGTCCGTCGGGCTCCCGGAGGCCACCACCCGGCCGTAGGCCTCCTGCAGCGCCGGCCCATTCCGGCTCAGGTTGAGCGCCATGAGAAGGAGCTGCCGCCGCCGCCGCCCTCCTCCCTTTGCTGCTCAGCCGCGGGCTCAACCTTCGCGGCTTCCGGCTCCGCCCGGCCTGGCGCTGCGCGGAGGAGACCGGCATCCGCGGCGGCACCGGGCGGTGGGCTCTGCCTGAGCGGCGCCCGCATCCCCCACCGCCCGGGCAGGCTGAAATACCGCGGTGCTCCACGGCGGCGCCTGCTCGGGGTTCAGTCCCGCTTGGCTCTGCGGGGCTCGCTTCCGAGCAGATGCACCGTTCACCTAAATGCACCATGTAAATCGAAAAGGAGAGTGGAATGGACTGTCTTCGGGAGCTGCTGTGTGCTCAGCTCTTGAGAAAACGAACAGCACGCATCCCTCTGTGCATACTTTCCGTTGCAAGGATGACTGGTATTTCTTTTATTTCTTACACACTTGGAATCCTTTACTTGCTTATCTGAAAGTAAGTCCCACTGAACACAATGGGGCTTAACTCTGAGTTGACACAGTTTGCACGGTTAAATATTTCTAAATTTTACAAGCCAAGCAACGACTCTGACAGGTTGTCAACTGAGTACAAACGTGCCTTTCCGTATATAAATATTGAATTTAAGGTGGAGTGCTTGTTTACACACTGTTATGGCAGAGTGCACATAAAGGAACAATAGCTATCTTTTTTTCTTTAAAATCCTTATTAAAATGTGGGAGTTTTAATTTAGAAAACCATCTTGGCGAACTGGTGGTGTAGAAATTAATTAATTAACACCTTTCCCGTGGCTTCAACATTCCCAATGTGCCGGTTTGTTCAATGATAATTTCTAATTATAGTTCCTTTGCCTAAACACCACACAGAATGGTTCCAAGGGTATGATAAAAGGGTATGATAAAATAGCATAAAGGGGTGGCAACTGACAAGTTTTCCAGGTGTTTTGGCCTACAGCTCCCATCATCCCTCACCATGGGCTGGGTGATGGGAGTTGCAAGGCCAAACATCTGGGAGGCAGCAAGTTGCCCAGTCTTGTAATGCATTACAATACACGCACACATGACCATTTAAACTCTTGTATTCTACATCCAAATAGAAATCTAATAATCAGTGTGTAAGTCTTCTGTAGCCAAGTTGGTCCCATCTATCCAAGGTATCATCAGACTGGGGGGGGGGGATCAATTGGCTCACATTTTGTTGCAGATCCTACTGGTAACTACCCAAGGCAAAAATAGCCCTCATCTCCAATACCAGTGCCAATTATATGGCATATGGATGTTAAGATATTTGGATGCTGAGCTGGATGATCTAGGGTCCTTTTCAGCTTGGTAATTATTGATTCTAAAAGAGCAGGTTGGCCTGAAACCTGCCTGGCAGGTTCTGTTGTTAGATAAAGTGAATGAATAAGTTACCATAGAATGAATTGTTGGACATCTTCCTTTGCATGAGAAAGAGATGGCTGCTGACTGTTCTGGAAGGGGGAACTCTTTCTTTCTCCTTTAGAAATGATGTTATCCAGCTATCTGCATGCAAATTTCTAAACAGGCAGTTTAGAGAGGGAGTAATCCAAGTGAAGAACAGGAGAGCATGGAGGAATGTTGTCTATGGGGTTGCCATGGGCTGGACACGACTTCACTAAAGGACAACAAAAATCCAAGAGAGGTTGAAAAGCCAGTCCTGTGAGTGCTGGCCATTCCCCTAGAAATGCGAGAGCAGTGAACTCAGGAACATCTGATGTGATGCTTTGTATTTACGTTCTGTTTTATTTCTATACTGCCCAACCGCCAGAACTCTCTGCAACGTTCAGTTCAGTGCTGTACTTTCACCCTTGCTCAGCCTCTAAATGCGTACATATTACAAAATACCAGTAAGGCACCATTGACCTCATTCAAACGGAAACCAAACAGAGGGAGTGTTGCACCACTCAAGTATCTCACACGTACATGAAATGCACTCTTGAGAAGACTACGCATTTGGGCTGGGATGCAGTGACATGGAACCAGCAAGACATGAAAGCTTGGAGGCTTGGCATGTTGTTTGTGCGAAACACATTCGTCGTCCTTTCCCCCTCCTTTGTTGCTATGAAACCACCCGAACAAACTGTGGTTTAGCAGCCTCCTCTGAACCCAGGCAACACTACAGACTCAGGTGCTGCCCCAAGCATGAGTGTGGAGGGGCTTGCTTGCACCAACGGCTGCCAAGGAAGAGCCCTCATAACCTGGGTTGACAGCAGCTGCACACATCTGCCGCCATAACAAACAGGCACGGGGCCACCACTACCCATCTTTGGCCTGCTCCATGTGGCCACTAGGGCTTTCATGATTGCAGGGAAGGAGGGAAACAGGGGTGCTCCCGTGGGATCCCTGCAGTGGGAAGACGTGCCAGGAGGAGGGGCCTGGCTTCAGAGCCTCATTGCGCTTGAACATCGGTTTGGCACATTGCAGGTCCTTGACCAAACAAGTCACACCAGTCATATAAACCAGCCCATTACCAGCTTGTTATATCTTGGAAGTCTTCCTCCAGACTTGTGTTGGGAAGAAACCACTGAGACAAAAAAACATGTTAATGCATTTTTATAATATGTACAATACTGTATTTTAAGAATGTTTAATTCTTTTAAACTACCCACAGCGCTTTGGCTATTGGGCTATACAGAAATGCAATTATCTTTGGCCTCAGGCTTCCACTTCAGTCGGTGCTCCTGTGTCCTACTTGTTTTTTCTCGCCACACAGGAGACCCCTAACAATTCATATGTGATAAAGAGTTCTTTCTAATTGGGTCAACTGCCTGGAAACAAACTTTTCAAACCCACTGAGGATGCAATCCTGTGCAAGTTTGGACAGAACAGGCTGGAGTTATGCAGACTTGCATTGGATTGGGCCTGAAGAGCTCCTCCTGATTCATTTATAGTCGCTAGTGTCCTAGACCAAGTGGTGCAGTTAGAGGTATTGAAATCAAGGTATCAGCTCCTGGATCTCCCTGTAATCTATTTGCATTGTCCCTTGAGGACCCAATTACTCATCTCTGCAGTGAACCTGATGCTGTTGTTAACACAGCTCCAGCTGAGGAGTCTGACAGTAACATCTGCCTGATTTTGTGGTGCCAGTTTTAGTTACTGTGGCCTGGGGTTGTGAACAAGCACCTTGCATCTGTATCCTCTAAGTTCTTGCCCCACTTGGCTAATAAAAGCTAGTTGAAAGGGCAGGGCTGGGTGGGTCCAGGAAGTGGCGAGTTCATCTCTACATGAAGGGATGATTCCTGCTCTTCCTAAGGAAGTAGTTGTACAGTCACTCCTTAAGAAATGCAGTGGTATCTGACAACTTCCCTTCAGTTGCAATCACTCCATTACCAGGGAAGGTACCTGAAAAGTCATGGAAGAACTACGACTGGTACCCTTAGGGAATGCCAGCTGTTTAGACCCATTTTAGCGAGTGTTTCCCTGCTTATAGGCTGAAATCATCTTTTACATCTTGATGGATAACCTTGATCAAGAGGGACAGGCAGAATGCAACCCTGTTAAATTGGCTTGATCTCTCAGTGGCTTCTGATGCCACCAGCCTAGATCAACTCTGGGGACTAAGCATTGGAAGCACCGTGGTGCACTGGTTCTGGTCTTACTGGCAGGGTCAATTTCAGAGAATAATACTGGGTGATAATCCCTTGGCCCCATGGCAACTGAGCCATGGGGTTCCACAGGCTATCGTCTTGTCCTCAATGTATTAAACATTTCTATGACGCTGCTGGGCATGGTTCTTAGGGGATCTGGAGCCACATGCCATCTTGCCGTGACATCGAATCAGATGAAGCAGTGCAAGTCCTGAGACAGCACCTAGATTGAATGAGCACCAATTTAAACATACAATTAAAGGAATTCTTACAATACAGTGCCCCCCACCCCAATTATACATGTTGCAATCATGGGAAAAAACCTCATTTAAACATTTCAGGACATCCCCCCCCCAAACTGTAATGATTCTTTTGAAGGCTTGAATCCTTTTTTTAATTCAATAACCCCCTCCCATATAATTAAACTCATTAAACTAACTATCAGCCTATTTGAGGCCTAGGGATCAAATATTCTCGAAAGGCCTCAATACTTACTGCTGCCTATATGTATGGACTGACACTTCCTTAACCTTACAGCCCAATTATAAACAGGTTTATTCAGGAGGCCCAGTGAAACAGCTTCTTTGTCTCTACCATCTTCTCCATTTCCTCTTCAGTACCATCATTTTTGCTTCAAAATGTTGTTGATTTTTGGAAAACAGCCCTGTGTGGTCTTATAGTGGCCACCCTTGAAATGTCGGGGAAACTGCAGGTGTTCTCATTTATGTATTTATATCAGAAGCACAAAGAGCAGATGTATCTCTCATCAGTCACTATTTAATCATAATATTTATTTATTGCTATTTGTATACTGCCACAGTAACTTATAGTTGACCTCTGTGAGTGGCTTACAATGATTAAAAAAACCATTCTAAAATCAGTAATACTAAAAACAGTCCCAAAACATCAACAATGTTTGGTTGTTCTGTACAAAACATAACTGAGCAAATTAAAATCATTACATAAAAACTTCAAATAAACAATTTTAAATAAGTAATATAAACTAAGATAAAACCATAAGCCAGGATCAAGTTAACACCAAAATTACCAGTGTTGTGACAGGAAGGGCAAGGGATGATTGTTGAGCTTCTGGTGCAACCCACAAATGGAAGGTGTGCATTTTGCACCCTGGTAAGACCTGTGACCTGTTCCTGCATCAGCACTGGTTGTGACATAAGGAAATTCCTAAATCACTTACACATCTGTTTTCCCTGTTGGGGACCAATCTAATGCTAATAAGCTGCTAGATACAAAGATTAGGACCCTCATTGTTATTCTACAAGACTGAAATCCTAAACAGGCTTACTTTTAGGCATGTTTAGGATTCAGCTGTAAAGCTTCCCAGAGGGACTTTTAAAAACTTTTCAGCAGGCTTTAGTGATTGTGAATTCCTTGTAAATACATGAATAGGAACATCTGCAGTCTTCCACGAACTTCCCTGAGCAACAGGACATTTCAAGGGTGGCTGCTAGAAGATCTATTTC